TTTTTTTTTTTTTTTTTTTTTTTTTTTTTTTTTTTTGTACTGCTGTGTTGTCCTTTCCTCTTTACTGCTGTTTTCAGTTATTGCCTCGAACTCCTGGCTAGTACCTCTGATCCCCTTCTCTATCTTTCATCCAAATCCTGCCTGCAGAGCGGCATGTGGGTGCCCATCACCCACGGCCCTCAAACACTGCTCTCACCAAGCTCTTGTCCCTCTCCTCTACCTGGCGAGTGACGCTGCGAAATAACTTTGGCGGAAAGGCTGGAGTAACGGCCGAGACGAGCCGTAGTTCCCGGAGAGTGTGGTACGCCATGCGACTGCAAATCATGCAACAGTAACTGCAGTTTTTCTTCAAATCACATTCTCCCTCTTCCCTTTGTAATTTACAATTTACGCGACACTGATTTGATCTAGTATGGCACTGCTGTGCAATGACACAAGAAGGATATCTCCAGTTCAAAAAAGAGAAAAAGCCTTGTCAGTAAGTAATTGCTATTAACGAAGTACCGTTATTCGGATTATTTCCACCTTTTACAATGAGTGACTGCTTAATGAAATATCTGTCAGTAGCTTACCAGGATTTTGTACAATTCGTGTTTGACGCTCATTTCAGGCTTCCCGGACTCGATGTGTTTTATAATCACTTCACTTGGCTATATTTGTCTTTCATACATCTTATTTTGGCTATGCTCCATTTTGTATGCCATTTTTTATCCATATTTCATTGGTCGTCCAATTGATTTAAAGAAAGCTGCTGGCGGCAAATGGGCAGGTACCTCTTTTTTTGGTCAAATATTGCACGAAGGAATATGCGGTACTAACGCCTGAGGACATCTCTATATGTAAATGGAATTTTCCGCGGATGCCCACTAACCACGCTGTCACTTCCTTGATCATTTTTGTCACAGTTGTTTGAAAGAAGCCAAGGCACTTTAATTCTGATGGTCACTGGTCACACTAGCTCTTTCATGGTCAGTTTTTTGTCGATAGCGTGTTTTGCGTCCTTCTTGGACATTTCCGCCTCAGTTCCTTAAAATTTAATAATTTGGGAAGGCCAGTTCTGAGACGCAAGCTTATTAAGACCAGTTGCTTAATAAGCTTGCATCTCGCAACTGGTTTTGATAATCATTTAGTCTTACAGCAGTAGCAACGGAATCAAAAGCCCAATGTCCTCCTCTGTATTCGCTTTTAATTTAAAGCGGAGGCACTCGGAAGTATCCCAAATAGTAGCAAATGGTAAAAGCAGCCATCACCAGCAAGGCCGTCGTTGGCTCCATCTTTTGATGCGTTTTTTACATCTATGCAATGCAAAAATGCATATTATCGAGGGGTCGTCTGTGTGTATGTGTGTGTGTATTTGTGTGTGCGTGTGTGTGTGTGCGCGCGTTCGCCTGCAGCGATTTTTCATCTCGAGACCTACGAAAACTACAACACTAAAACTTTGGGAAATTGTTCTGCATGCACGTACAAGCCTCCATCTCCAAAATGGGCTCTCTTTTGCACGTGGTTCCCACGTAGAGGCCCATCAAAGTTTCTGGCGGATAAGCTGTTAACTCGGGAACCAGAAAGCTAAAAAACTGCTTCTGCTGTTTTCTGACAGATCTTGTGGAAAGTCTCATTTCTTTTAGCTGGAAGCATCTGCTGGAAAAAAAAAGCAATACCTTTAGCAACAAGAACATACGGGGAACTACGCAAAAAACGCATCTTCGCACAGGCAGTTGGTTCGTTGGCCAATTATTTCTATACTATTTTGTGTTTTATAGAGTAGCAAAATGAACAAATGAAATTTGAATAACTAATAAAATGGTCAAAGCAGCCAAAAACTGCATTAGAAGCAAGGATGGCTTATTGTTGATATTATTAAATCTGTATTACAGTGATAACTGGTGCTACCGATGGCATCGGTAAAGGTTACGCTTTCGAATTGGCTCGCAAAGGATTTTCGATTGTTCTTATCTCTCGTTCAGAGATCAAACTTCAGAATGTGAAGGAGCAGCTAATCCGAGAAACAAATATTCATGATGTTCGTTTTTTTTAAAAAAGGATAATTGTACAGCCGAGGAGAAAAGTCGAGAAGTAGAGGAAAAGTGGGGAGGGGAGATGGGGGGAGGGGGGAGGGGGTTAGGGGCGCCAGCTAGAAATAAGGACAATCCCCCTACTCACATCGTTAGCCAGGCCGATCTTTGTAGCCGCGATTGCCACCGAGGCTTGATGAAGCAGAATGTTCGTCAAGTTTTCTCAGTTTTCTGCTCTCACAGAGACAGCCGCCGTTCTTTTTGCTTCTTTCGCCATCTTATCCACTTTTCCCATTTATCGCTCATCAGTTTTTTCCATTCTCCACAAATTTATCGAATATCAGTAAATCCGGGGGCAAATTAAAATGCAAATTTGTTGCTGTTAAGCTGATGGCACATTACGTATTCTTCTAATAATTTACCGTTTGCGAAAATCCTGATCAAAACATTTTATTCCATAAGTACTAATAAGTTTACGCGATTTTTTTAGGCGTCCATACGTGAGACGCAGGTGCAACTGACCATTGGTTTTAAGCTTTTCGGATGGCACGTGGGCTAAAAATTTCCATCATTCTTGCATTTTGAAGAACTCAAAATTCATGACTGTTCGGCTGCATCTCAGTGATATCATTACCTCTACAATAAGATTTGATTACTTCGGAAGCATTTCAGTCTTTTTCAGCAATGTTTACTTTTCAGACTGAAGTGATAACGATTTTATTCGATTTTGTCTGTCAAGATATTGAGCAGTATGAAAGAATAATCTTATCACAACTAAGGAATTTGGATATCGGAATTTTAGGTCTGTTGATTGCATCCATTTGCATTAACGTATCCGTAATAGAGGCCTGAGAAATGAACAGCAAAATGTGGCAAACATCTTAATTATTGGTTCAGGTCACTCAGTTTTTGGCTCAGCCACTGGTTAAATATTAGAATCATAGTCATGGGAATGTTATAGATATTATATGTATTGATGATCGTACTAGACAGCAGCCTGTGTTTCATCCCTCAGCTGTAAACAAGAATTGAGATGATGGGAATTAGATTCATCAGCACAGCCTCGCAGGCGCCCTTCATAAAATGAGCATGTTTCCGATCACCGAACACTGGGGAGAGGAAATGACAATGAGAACTAATGGACAAGGAGCTGAAAGAAAAGATCTAATTTTAGAATGAGGATCCACTGCGCATCACATAATGTTGTCCAGATTAGTTCGGGAACTTTCAGTCCAATGATTTATAAAGAAAGGCACGCGAGGATGCCGTGGGCCGTTTATCACGAGTGCGCACATATTTCGTTTCTCATCTCCCACGTGTCTTTGTGAAACGCACATACACGCATAATTTCTTGGAGATATCATTCCAGTATAACATCACTAACATGGGATTCCCACACTGATTGTCCAGGCAGTCTTGACATTATCGTTGTTATAGTGAACAATGTCGGCGTTTCATTCAATTATCCCGAACTGCTACATCTAAAATCAGATGACCTGAAGCAGATTGCAGATATTGCTATTGTCAACATGCTCCCAGCAACTATCGTTTGTTTTTATGCATTCCCATCAAATGGGTGTAAAATGATAACAGAGACCAGGACCGAAGAGCCTGGCACAGCTGCATTTGGCGTGTGGAAGCATTCTAATAACATTGCTAATATGAGGTACTCATGCTGTTAGCCCGGGCAACCAGCCTTGATATTTTTGGTGTATTTAGAATCAGACACATAAAATTTTTTAAGCATTAAAAATTTAGCTGAGCGCTGCAGTGATCCCGCAAATGTTGAAGCGTAACAGTGGTGTTATCGTGAACATTTCTTCCGCTGCTGCTGATTGGGTTTTCAAATATACGAACGTGTATGCTGCAACAAAAGTAAGTCACTTTTACAGCTTCCTAATGTTTCTGATACAAGGCCTAAGATTGAACAATGTTCATTATTCACGATGAATGTTGTCCTAGTGTCTTATTGAATTCCTTGATAAATTTTGTACCGAGTTTGTTCATTGCAAAACTTGGAATACATGAGCCAAAGAATGATGCACTGAGATACCTACGATTTTGACGGACGAAACGGCAGTACGACTTTTGAATCACCTTCACCTTTTCAAATTTTATTTTGAACAAAGTTACGGACATGCATTTTTGTTG